ATTACTTGGTCATCTTTAATATTATAAAATATGAAGAAAACGATCACTCCGAGTCGAAGACTCGGAGTTATCGATATCTTCATGTTTTATAGTTATAAAAAAATTTAATGAACTAAAATTTCATTCATCGTAAAAAATATCACCAAAATGAATTATTTTAATCTTTTTGGGTGTTAATTTAATCTGCAACACTTTTTAATACCTCACGATTTACTGTGTTCTTTTTTGCATATTTTTTCATAGAAATAAGAAATCTTAAAAGCGGAATATTTAGGAAGAAATGAAGAAAAGATAAACAAGATGATTTTTTAATTTTGAAATATTTTTCTTTTCAATCGTTAAAAATTCGATTGCCATAATAAAATTTGAATCATTCTATTTAGAATTCATATAAAGTAGAGTTTGAAAATAAAATTTTCATTAAATATAGAAAAAGCAAACAGAGGCGTACAGTATGTCAAACAGTAAACTCTAAACTTTAAAACTCTATATATACTTTCAATGAAATTGGTAGTTTTCGTTGAAAGCAACGCATGAGTAAAAGAAGGGTCATGAAATCGAGTAGAAAGTAATCCGTATTTTTATCCAATTTCTAGCAGCGATGAAAAGGGTCAGACATAAACTGAATGCAGTATATATGAGAATAAGGTGGAAAGATTCCAGCAGGCTAAGGATAAAATTAATTGCTATCTTTTTAATTCAATAGCAAAAAGTACAGATTTTTCATATTTTCCTATAGAATTGAATTACATAGAATTTTTTCCAATTACTAAAAATCTATTTTTGTTCATATCCTATTATACAAAGATATATTTATTTTTTAATACATTATATATTTGAGGGTGGTCAACGAACCTTGAAAACAAGGGAAATGACGTCAATTTACTCATGCCTTAAAAAGAAACCTTCAATAATTTGCCTTGTTCTATTTTTCAAACCCTGAATTTTTAAGATTGAAATATTTTTATATTTAAGAAAGAATTCGACAAACACAAATAAAAGTTATTTCAAAACTATTTTTTAGAATTTTGAAATAAAATCAATTTAAACAACTGTGGTTGTATCAGTTTCTGTCCATATTATATAAGATTATTAACTTTCCGTTGACACACTCGATCATTTTGACCCGGATTAAAAACTAATTCAATTATTTCAAATTTAATGAATAATAAATTTTTAAATTACATTTGTATTGATTATAAAAGTTTGCTTTAATTAAAAAAATTCTTCCTTTCACTTTATTGAAAATTAAATTTCTTTTTTGCAATTTAATAACACGGATGCGATGTAGCTTGTTGTGTATTTTTTGTACATTACTAATTTGCAAACTAACTTTTTAAATAGCTACAAAAAATATTGTTGCATCAGCCATTTTGAATTATTGAAAATTAACATCGAATTCATAATCAGCGACCCTGGAAAACTCCAAATGAAGAGATTTAGGTCAATGAAAGAAATTTAAATTTTCTTGTCCGCCATTTTGAATTTTTAAAAACTTACATATTGAATTCGTAATCAGCGACCCCAAAATCCCCCGAATGACAAAATTAAGGTCAATTGAATAGATTTTAAAACTTTTATCCGCCATATTGGATCCGGCATTTTGAATTTTTAAAAACCAACATCGAATTCTTAATCATTGACCCCAAAAAACCTCCGAGTAACAAAATTTAGGCGAATTCAATAACATTTTAGAATTTTGAAATATAGTGACCAAAGCTTTTAAAGTTTACTTCATATTTGACGCCATATTTAGTCCGCCATCTTGAAATTTTAAATTCTATTTAATTTTTTTTAAAAGTATACAATTTTTAGGCACCTAATCGATGGCCCCGAGCTATTTCATAGTAACTCGCGGGCGAGTTACTATGAAATAGCTCGGGGCTATCGTAATGGTTGAGAATTGAATTTATTTAACACACGTTTTATATGGGTAAAAAAAATTATAAAACTTGAAATAATGAAATTTTCTTGTTTTTTGAAATTAAAACTGCCATATTTAATTTTGAGTTGAACGAAATTCTTTTTTCACTCCGGAATCAAAAAGAGTACACCCAAAACTTATAAGAAACATACTTTTGGTCCTATAAAATATAATCCGTTTTATTTATAAGAGCATAGGTTTTATTTTTATTGATCAAAGAATTTTCTTGTTTTTTTTTTGCAAACGCATCCCCAGTTTTCAGAATAAAGAAATTTTATTGTTTCAAGTTCAAAAACCGATAATACAGATCCTATATTTAATCAAACAGAAAAATTAAACAATGTATTTTTATATTAACAAACGCTTCCATATATGTACAGTTCACTAAAGAATATTTTAAACAAAATCAAAATAAAGAAAAAAAAGAGTTAAATATTTGTTTCATTCGTTTCAACATTGGAAACATGAAACGAAATACACCCTTTCTACTGTTTGCATTTTTCAAATTACCTCAAACATTTGTATAATATATATATTATATATAAATGTTTGAAATCCGCTTCTTTTTCCATTGTAAAATATACATCAGTTATATTTCAAACCACTGTGTAAATCGTCATTATATCGATTTTTCTAATGTAATTGTTAATCAGATATTGATTTTCTTATTTTAAAAAAATGGTATTTTTTACTTTATGGATTTTGTATAATTTCTTATGCGGATTATATACTTGAGTTTTAAAACACGGATGAAATTTGTCATTTGTTGTGAATAGAAATAATAATAATAATAACGATAACAATGCAGGTTCAATTATTTTCGATCGTAATGCTTCATTTTCACGTTCCTCATCTCTTACTATTATTGTTTTTCGTTGACCCGAATGCTTCGAAATCACTTTCGAGTTCCCTGTTTGTTCCTTGTGCTTTAATGAGAAAAAACAGACAATTATTTCTGCTTTTTCTAAATATTTTTTTATTTCAAAATTTTTTAATTGTAGTATAATTATTATTTTATTATTTTAGTTATTATGACTACCTATTATTATTATTATTATTATTATTATTATTATTATTATTATTATTATTATTATTATTATTATTATTATTATTATTATTATTATTATTTTTATTATTATTTTTATTATTATTAACATTTTGAATATTAATATCACAGGGAAAAATTTTTAACTTAAAGAGGTTAGAGAACATAGTTCAGTCCAGTTAAAACCATCCTTTTGAGTAAATTTCCCTAGGGTTGGTCTCATAGAAGGTATATTCTAGGAAATTTAATCTTCCCTGTACCCAAGTTTTTTGTATTATAAGAACTCCATTTTAAAAAGTGCATATAATGCATAATATGCATTTGAATACACAGAGAATACATCATTTTTAAGAATTATATATTATAATAGATATAAATTGCAATTGCATGCAATATGTCACAAAAGTTGCTTAAAATTTTCTTCTTTAATTTTTTCAATTTAAAACAATTTACAAATTTTTAATTTTATTCTGTGGTTATACTAACTTCCGTTCGATTGAGTTCTCATTAAATTCATAAAAAAACATTGTTTTTTTTTCTCTAAAATAGGAAATATTTTTTATAAAAAATATGATTTTCAGTAACTTACAGGCCTTGAATAGTACGACATTTTTGACTAGTTTAAAAAAATTAGACTTTTTTTGACTTATTTTGATAAAATGCGATTCTTTCCACTTTTCTTCTGCAGATTACAACAAAATATCATTTTTTTGTATTAACCCATTAACGCCAGACAAAGTAACAAAAATTTCATCAACCACTGTAGTGAATGGTTTTTGTGGTCGCTGATAACTTATTCGATTTCAGTTCTGCAAAATTTTCAAAATTCAAAATGGCGGATGACTTTAATTATATAAATTGTTTAGATTTGCATGAAACTCGTTACTAGAAGGTTTTTCAACAATTATAAAAAATTCTTCTCCGAAATTTCAATTATTTTTAGAAATAATTAAATTCTTCTCCGAAATTCAATTATTTTCAAAAAATTTCCTCAATTCAATGATTTTTAATATATTTTTAATAAAATTTTCTAAAAGAATTCAATTATTTAAAAAAAAATTCTACGCAAAGCTTTAATTATTTTCATAAAATAATAAAACTTTCATACAGGAATTCAACTATTTACAAATTTTTTACAAATTTCTTCGCAATCATTAAATTATTTTCATAAATAATATTTTTACAGGGATTCAATTATTTTCGTAAATAATCAAATTCTTTTGAGGAATTCAATTATTTTCAAAAATAATAAAACTCATTGTAGAATTTAAATTATTTTTAATGCAATTTTAATCGAATTCCTCGAAAAATGTAATTACTCTTAAAAATTTTATTAAAATTCGTGAAAAGAATTAATTGTTTAAAAATTTATTGATGAAATTCATTATGAGAATTTAATTTTAAGAAACATGCAATTATTCAATAAATTGTTTTTTTATTTAAATAATTGAATTCTAGCAGAATTTTCTAATAAAAATTGATTTAAAAATAGATTTGAGTTAAAATTTTGGATTATAATTGAATATTAAAAGTCCGTATTTTTAAATACTTTTACTGGTTCGAGCCCTGGATTAGACATTTTTAATTTTAAAAAATTTGAGAATTTGACATTGGATTCGTAATCAGAAACCCAAAAAACCCTCAAGTAGTCATTTTCAAAAGCTTAGCTCAACTTTTAAAAATTTCGTCCGCCATGTTGGATCCGCCATTTTGAATTTTTAAAAACTGACACAACATTCGTAATCAGTGACCCTAAAAACCTCCGAATAACGAGTTTCATGACTATAGTCAAATCTTTTTCTGTAAAGATTTTAACTTTTTTTTTGCAAGTTCAATAAAATATACCTACTTTATTAACAATAAAAAAAAAGTGATTGATATTTTACTCTGTCTAGAGATTAACTTTACGTGTATGCCATCAAAAGGATCTATTTCTGAAAGTGAGTGCAGCGTTCTGAAAAATCGACATTTTTGCCGCATTGATTCGTTGACTTTTCCAATGTTAAAGTTATGCAAAGAGGTCGTACTCACATTATCAAACGCGACTGCATCAAGCGGAAGCTGAGATTTCAACGTGTCTCGTATGTGCTGAAAAAAGAAAACAATTCTCTCAGTCATGAAATATTCATCGATAGAACCAGTATCAAATGTTTGCATAATGAATCGATAAAAATCTAACGCGAAAAAGCATAAGAAATTCGTCAAAAAAAAAAAAGATGATGCATTTGTAAGTGTAACCATACAATTTATATGTGGCAATTCAAAATATATAGTCTCCCGAAACTATATACATATATTAGTTCAAACATTCTATATATATATAAAGGAAATAAAATTACTTTCTGTCTGACAAAACTGTTATTTACCGAATTGTACGCAGAGGAGATTAATTTATTTTTCGAAAGTGATACTTTGTTATAAAATCAGCGCAAAAAGCATTTTAAACTCTAATTACGTTTGTCAAAATTCCAACAATTTCTCATATGTGTGGACTCATACAGAAACTTTTAAAATGGTTAAGTAAATTTAATTTTCAATTTTAGGAGCAATAATATATCTCCAGGAGAATGCAATTTATTAAAATTCCTGTCGCATATTTGGAGCATTACAATTATAATACATTAAGTTTTAATGACAATTCTATTTTAAAACAAAGTTTCATTTTCATAAAACATTTTTTCTGAACTAATTTCGCAGTTTTTCCAAGTCTTTGAAAATTATATTTTTTTTTAGTGGATGCTTTCAGAGATTTGTACCAAAATGAATATTAGAAGAAAAAAAAAACAATATTTTTCAAAGAACGATTAAAAACTTGAAAGCACTTTTTTTGTTGTTTGTAAACATACAATGTTCGTATCAAGAACACAATATCCTCTGTCAAGGTAAACTCTCCAAGGAATTTCTACAGGAATGAAGCAACAGTTGAATTCCGGATGGGTTACCATGGAGACTGAGATTGAAGCGAATTAGGGAGGTTTTGGATGGATATCTTTCACTGAGAAAAAGATTGAAAGGCCCTTTACCGAGAATTAATTTCATTGGATTTCATTCATGAAAAATTCGATTACCCCTTTTTTTTGCAAAAAAGAAAATAAAAGAGAGAGAAGTGAAAAAAAAGTTTCAATCAACTTTATTGCAAGCATCTAAATTTAACCGGCTGAATTTTCAATTACAGTAATGGAAGGACAATCAATCGCTAGATAGTTTTTAGTAACGTTATATATCACGCACGAGTGAAGTGACATTAGTGTCACCATAAGGACTTAAAATATTTGTACATTAATTCCATGGGGCAACAGAGGACTGAATCGGAGAGTTATGTACGCGTATGAAGTGTTTGCCTCTGTTTCGGACAGGCACACGTGGATTCTGTGATTTACTTAGTGAATTATAGGCACATGCTCGTGTCAATATGTGCACATAATATTGACGTGTATTATAGTTCTCTACTTGCTCCAGAAATTGGACAAAATCACGAGTATGATTCAGGACTAATTAGAATATTAATTATGTCATCGACATTAAATATACATACATCAATCGATAATAAATAATAAAGAAAGGGATAAAAAATAGTTAATCAAAAAGTTGGACTGAAATTTATACCCACTTAGCACTACATTTTGCAGCAAGTTTGCTGTTCAAATTGCAAAATTTATAAGTTTATATGCCAGGGAATGTTGACAATGTTTGTAATTACCGCTCTATATCGATTATTACAAATTTTGCTAAAGTTTCTGAAAAATCAGTTGCTTCACAAATAAAATTCGGGTCATTAACTCAATTATCAACAGTATTATGTCACGTCATCGCGACGCATTTATATTATATTAAAAACATTTTGTAAAAGTTAAAAATAACTGAATCCTTTGTTCCTTTGAAATCTAAGACCATATTGATCCAAATGCGCGCCCACATCAAAAGTTAGCGTATGCGATTATCATAATGAGCGTATACGGTCGTAAAAATTTTACTACCCTTGTGTGACGTCAATTCCCTTTAAAAAGAAAAAGTATAAAAGGATGCACCCTTGCCGAGTTCGTCAGTCCTGGAATCGCCACCAAGTTCAGAAGTCACCCTCAAATCAGAAAACCCGCGATCTTCGTCAGTCCAGGAAGAGCCTTCAACTTAACTAAAGTACTAAGCGTATTCTTCGTCTCCAGTTCCAAAAATCTCTTCAAGTACCAAGTGTATTCTTCAAGTCTCGTCTAAGTCAAGTTCATTCAACGAGATAATTTCTACTGCGAGACAAATTTCTATTTTTGCGAGGACTGCATTATTTTGACTTTAACGTCAAATCAATAATTCGACACCTGGACTCTGGACCTTTCACTTTGGCTGGCCCGAAAACATTTCAAGAAAAATCTATTGCCTTCTCAGTCTACCCCAGACAACGTCACTTCTTTGACTTCACACTGTACGAGGTATCGCCTGTTGGGTCTACGTCTCTAAAAATAATTTTTATGGGTAAGTAACTAATACTTTTAAAATTAGTCCCTATCTAAATTCTCGATTGATTCTACAAAGTCCGTATTTGTTTCAGTATCCCTGAAGACATGACATTTGGATCTATTATTTCTCTCTCACTCTAATTGTAAAGGATTCAAATAAAAACTTTAGTAATTTAACTTCAATTAAACAGTTACTCTTTCTTAAAACCTGTCCCTTGAAATCAGAGTGTTCGACTCTGTGAATAAATCAGGTATGAATCACCGATGCCGGACAAATTAAATATATAAATTATGATTATGTTTAGTTTCATTTCTGAGACATAACAGTTACATCGAACTAACCCAAATATATTCCGTAGTATTTCCTTTGATGAATAACAATTATGTATTCACAAAACTTGAGCAGTACTTCCGAAAAAAATTCAACAATATTTGGTTTGAAGATAATTTGTATTTTACACTCACGTGAAGATAAGCACGAAAATATTAGACTGATGTATAGAAAACCACTTCTTAAAGATGAAAAATTCAGACTGACTTGTACGGAGCACCACTTCTCACTTTGAGACTTATAATTTATTAACATGCAACATTCATAAGACAGCCGCTTTGTTTAATTTCAAATCATATTTTTCTAACTAATTTCAGATAATAATTTTTATATATCCTAAACAATAAAATATATTTGAAAATAATGATAAAATTATGATTTAGTAATTAGAAAAATAGACAAATAAGTTTTCATATTAAAAAATTGAATAAAAATGGTATTTTTTAAAAACATTTTCAGCTTGAAAGCAATGATTTTTTTTTCAAAAACTAAATTTTTCGTTGGTAACATTTTTTGATTAAAACCAAATAAATGCGTGAATGAATGTTGTATTTTCAAAAAATTAATTTTTCCACGAATTTGTAGCTTAAGTAGAAAAACATTTGAAGAAAATGAAATTGCAAAAAAAGCAATTTTCTTTTTAGATAAAGCTCCATTTCATTCAAATGAGGATAAACTTTATAGTTGAAATATAAAAGAACACTTTTCTTTATCAAACGTGATTGTATTGATTTGTCTAGGAAGAAGCAGAAAGCAAACAAACAAACAAAAAGAGTCATAAAGTTTAATTTATGTGTAAGCAGATACTGACTGAGTTTGCCCTCGTAAGAAGTGAATATTTAATAAATAATTAATTAACACTGTTGTTTATTTTACTTTGTCTTTGCATATGTAGTTATAACCTCAAAACTCTAAAGGAATGAATTTTCTTTTAAAATGACAGGTTAATGATTGAAATATTTTAATTTTAATTTATTCCATCCTTTTATAATTTTCGTTTTTAAAGTTTTATGTGGATGTCGTGCTAAGTTAATGTGCGGAGTGGGAAAGTGAAGGAATTAGTTCACTCAGGAGTGTGAAACGCGTCGGACACAATGTAAAGTCATTCATGTAAAACGTTTATAATATCTATTACTTTAAGGGGGAGTGACAACTTTGCAGCACAATTTCTAACTGTTTTTCATGAATTTTTTTACATAGAAGGAATAAAGTAAACAGGAATTGGTTTAAAGGAATTAATTTATTGTACTTTTATAGCTTGTAAAATTTGTTTTTGATATAATATTACACTTCGTATAATTCGTTTGAGCTAGAACCAAAATCGAAATATTTTCTTAATCTAGGCTACATGTAGCAGTCGAGTACGTAGAATTTTTTTTATTTTAATTTTTGTGGATTTGGCACCATATTTTGTGGAAAAATTTGACCCTGAAATCTTGACTATTTTGTTCAATAAAACTTCGTTTTGTGAATAGTTGTTTTCGGTATTGTCATGTCTCAGAAGGAAACTAAACATACCCTAAATTATATATTTAAATTGTCTGACATCGGGACAAAATTTAAAGTATTAGTTATTTACCTATTAAAATTATTCTTCGAGTCGTAGAACCAGCAAGCAATACCTCCTTCAGTGTATTGTCGAGGAAATGACCTTGACTAGCGGAAACAGAGAATGCAGTAGATTTCCCTTGAATTGTTTTTGGGCCAGCCGAAGAGAAAGGTACGGAGTCCAGGTGTCGATGCAGATTAGATTGAACATACCTCAGCCTTGGAGTTACCGAATTATTTAATTGACGTTGATGTCGTGGTAATGCAGTCCTTAGAAAAACAGAAATGTGACTCGTAGTAGAAATTATCTCCTTGAATGAACTTGACTAAGACGACATTCGAAGAAGGCACTTGGTACTTGAAGAGGTTTTTTATAGTGGAGTCGAAGAAGACACTTGATGACAGTACACAACTAGTTGACTTGGGGGCGGTTGCTGGAATGACACGGAGATCACAGGGTGTCACCTTTTATAGGTTCTCGGGGTCAGTTTGTTATCAGATTTAATTATCATGGACCCGATACTACAAAGGCCTTACAAACCCAAGTCTCTGTCTGAGCTAGATAAATCCCCAACGGGTGCTAGGCGACATATCTCGTATACTGCAAACGGGGACCACAAGGAGTTTTCAATTTATGTCTGTAATTATTCTCAAACAGTGTTTGACCAAACAACACCTCCTTGCAATCATGATGAACATATTTGACTTAAGGCAAACATCAAAGCAGGCGTGTGCATTCAAAACTATCAATATTAGGC